GGAGAAGGGGCTGTGTCGGGATGAAAATGAGAAGGGGGAAACCTGGGTGGAACTCTGGAAGAAAGGGTGGCGTTTCAGGAAAATCTAAAGATTTATTTCGGATGATCGATAATTCAAATTTATAATGGAAAATTAAATTTTTCCATGAATTAAATTTACCTTATTAAAGACTTTTACTTGTTATACGCTATTAATAATGATAATAATAATGATAATAATAATCGATTTTTATCATGGATACGCATATAAATAAATTTATAGTTATAATTTTTTTTTTTTTAAATTAATTAATTATCATTTTTTAATTGTGGTCGGCCATAAAAAAATTCCCCCCGCCACCCCCCGACCCCCTCGTGTTCGTTAGGAAAAAAGAAAATTTTTTTCGTAAAGATCAATTAATGATTATCATCATCATTATTATTATTATTATGGCGAATTTAAAAACGGTCGATAATAAATTACGAGGGAGTAAAGAGTAAAAAAATAAAATAAAATAAATTATTTATTTAATTTTTATTTATTTATGCACGAAAATACTTGAGCGTAAAAAAAAATTAATAAATGATAATAATAATAATAATAATAATAAAAGATTTTATCATTTTTGTATAATTTATGGTAAAATTTTAAATGGAAAAAGGTTTTTTCCTCGAGATTGATGCGGTCACAACCGGGTAAATCGGAAGTTCATTTTGACATGACCTTTTTATATAAATCATTGAGAAACCTTATTGTGAGAAATTGTAGTAAACTAAATAAAATCGGATTTGTGGCTTCGAGCTATTATAGGACTTTATAAAAAAAGAGAAGAAAATAACTCTTAGGAATATGAGGGAATGAAAAAAAAAAAAAGAAAGAAAAAGAGAGAGAGAGAGAGAGAAAAGTTAAGTTTTCGATTAAATCATGATGAATGATCGATCGATCGATCGATACTTCACGTTAAAAAAAAAAAAAATAAAAATTTTTTTTACCCTATCTCGGTAAAAATTGTTTTAAAAATAATTTTTTTTTTATTAAGGCCCCCTCCTGACCCCCCCCTGTCCCCCTATAACAGCATTCTCTTGTTCATTTACTCTTAACTAGTTTTAAACATTTTTACTCAAATTTTTTTTTTTTTGATTAAAACTTTTACGTGATTTTACTTTTGCACTTTAATTTTTTTTTTTTTTTTTAAACAAAAAGAAAACAACAACAACAACAACAACAAACGACAAACAACGACAACGACAACAACCGTGAAAGGACGAAATAAAACAAAAATGAAAAGAAAATTAAAAAATTAAACTATATAAATTTTTTAAAATAAATAACAACAATATCAAAGAGTGAGAAAACTCTTGTGCGTATGAGAGAGAGAACGAGAAAGAAAAAAAGAGAGAGAGGGAGATGAAAGGAAAATCTGACACTGACAGTATATCAACGACTTGTTATAAATACCGACAACTTTTTTTTTATTATTGACAAAAAAAAAAAAAAATTAAAAAATTTTTTTTTTCAAAAACGTTAAAAATTAATTTCTTTTATTATTATTAATATTATTATTAATATTATCATTATTATTTTTCTCCAGGAACAAAGCAAGAATTCTTCGGTATTTAATTTCATAGTGAAAAAGTATAAAAAGGTTGAAAACCTTAAAATGTCGATGTCATTTTAATCATATCAAAATTCATTTTTCCTCTTCTCCTCCTCCTCCTCCTCCTTTCCTGCTTTTCCTCTCTCCCTCCACTCTTTTTCTTCTTCATCGTTCTCCAAAATTTCTCCTTCATTTCTCTCTCTCTCTCCCTCCCTTATCTCATTCTTAAGTTATTTTCACACGTGATTGGTGGTAAAAATTGAAAATTTTTTTTATTCACACATCGATCCATTATTATTAGTATTATTATTATTTTTCCAGTTGTATATTGTTATTATTATTATTATTATTCAAAACCATAGAATAAATAAATTTTAATTAAATTTCCAAACGAAAATTATTCGTTTACCTATTGTTACGTCACACAAAATTTTATTTCGTTAAATCAAAAACATAAACAAGAGAAATTTCAAAATTTCTTTACGTTTTAAGAAAATCTCATTTCTCTGGAGAAAATTTTTTTTCGAATCGGTTTCGACCTGGAAAAAACGTGTCAATAAATATCAATCCGGTGTAAGAAAAAGTTATAATACAAAATTATTGTATATTTCTAATTTAATTCTAATTATAACTAACCGGAAAGAAATTTTTCAAGATTATTCGATCCTTCTTTCCAGTTTCAATATTTTCACAACCTTTCACTTATACATTTAAAGGTTCGAAGTAAAAAGTAAAAGAAAAATTCTACTTCCGGTTTATTATTATTATTATTATTATTTAAAATAAAAATTCGATTTTTTAAAACGTTCGTAAAACAAAATAAAAATTTTTATACAGGTAACGAAAGGAAACGGAAAAAGGAAGTGGGAGGGTATCAGGGGGGAAAAGGAGGGAAAGAAAGAGAAAGGGGAAGAGGAGGGGCTTTAATGAAAACATTTTAAAAACCGGAAATCGATTAAAAATTTCCGTTAAAAAGGAAAAAAAAAAAATTTTATAAACGAGTTTTTTAAACATTAAAAACATTTATTCCAGCGTGACCGAAAAAAAAAAAATTTTTTTTTAATTTTTCTCCAGTTTTTTTTGAAAAAACTGGAATTAACGAATCGTTTAAACGTTTGTTAAAAGTTAATTAACCATATTTGACAAGTTTAGTTGAAATAAGAATGTCAAGTGTTTGACACAAAAATAAATTTTTTTTTTTTTCTTTATGAAAATAAAAAAAAAAAAAATTTTTTTTTTTTTTTTTTTATTATTCGAGCCAAAAATATAAAAAGTTTTTAATTAGTTTCAACTTACAAACGACATAATGAATTTTTTTTCTGCTTCTTCTTTTCCTTTTCCTTTTTTTTCCTTTTTTTTTTTTGCCAAAAGTTTGCGTGCAAAGGAAAAAAAAGAAAAAAAAGGAAAAAGATTTATTAATTAAACTTTAATTTTTACTTTGCGCGCTTTTTTTTTTATTTTGTTTTTTTTTGTTTCGAAACACCTTTGTGTAATAATATAATTAAAATAAAGAAAAATAAAAAATAAAAGTTTTTTTTTGATTTACGACGCGAAAAAATAAAAAAATAAAAAATAATAATAATAATAATAATAATAATAATAATAATAATAAAATTTTTTTATTTTTAAACAAATAATAAAAAAAGTCTCGCGCGCGCGTGCGCACACAAACACACAGAAAAAAAATCGTGCTTAGAATATTTTACCTTGTTTTTTTTTTCTTACCGAAATCAAATTAAATTTTTTTTTTTTTTTATTTAATGTTGGTCACACTGACAACAGTCGTACATCTTAATTTTCTTGCGTGATGGATAATTTAATTTTCTTGATTGAAAATAAGAAAAGAAAAAAATTTTCCTTTTTTTTCTTCTTTCTCAAAAAAAAAAAAAAAATTTTTCTTTTCTTTATTTTTGGTTTCCACCTTACTACATTTTTTTCTAAATTATTTATCCAGTTTATTTTCTCCAAAAATAAACAAATGATAATAATAATAACACTAATAATAATAATAATTGATTCTTAATAATAATAAATAAATTTTTAAAAAGAAATTTTAAGTTAAAAAATAAAAAACAATTTTTTATTTATTTTTCACTTGTTTCGTTTTTATTCGTCATTCGCTCATTCATTCATTTATTCATTCGCGTATTTCATATCAAAAAAAAAAATTTCGGCTTATCGTAACAAAATAATTCAATTAAATTAAAAAAAAAAGTCTCACATTTTCATTTTTTCTTTTTTTTTTTTTTAAAGAAAAAGACGAATTGTCGTTTTTTTTTTTTTTTTTTAATACGAAAAGGAGTGAGTGAAAAAGGACAGAAAATGAGTAAAGACAAAGAAAAAATGTAGAGCAGAAAGGGGAGTAGAAGGGAGGGGGAAAAAAAAAGTAAGCCCCCCTTTTTGTTAGTTTTCATTGTTATTTTTATGCGGCAATATTTTAAATTAAAAAAATTTTTTTTTTTTTTTGTCTTTAATAGGCTCGTATAAATTTTAATAAATCTTTATTTAGAGACGCCATTTTGTTTTTTATTTTTTTCATTATTTTAAAATCTTATAAAAAAAAAAAAAAGAAAAAAAAAAGAAAAGAAAATTTATAAAAAATGTTTTCCGGGCTCCGGAATATATTTAAATTCAAAAGAGGAAAATAAAAAAAAAAAAAAAAAAAACGCTAATTATGTTTCGTTCACGTTTTTTCATATTAAACGTTTATTACCCCTTCCCTTCCCCCACCATTTTTTTTTAACGCAACGCCCCGCCCACTCTTTTACCCCTACTCCTTTTATCCTTATTCGCATTTTTTAAAAATGGTGTGGGGGGAAGGAAAGAGGGGGAAGAGTTTTAAAAAAATTATATATTAATCGACTTAAAGTTTTTTTTTTTAAATTTATTTTTAGCGCCATTTTTTAAAACAATAAAGCAAACGACAAAAATTTTTTCAATTTTTCATTTTCTTATTTATTTATTCTTATGAAAATTTTAACGTGTTATTATTATTATTATGAAATTTTTTTTTTTATTTTCTTCTTGTTGCCGTCGTCCTCGTCGTCGTCGTTGAAAAACCGGAAATTTTTTCACATCAAACAAAGGTAAATAAATAAAAAAAAAAAAAAAGGAAAAAGAAAAAAGGAAACAAAAAAAAGGAAAAAATGGAAAGTTGAAAGGGAGTAGAAAAAAGAAAAATTGTCTCATGTTAAAAGTAATTTGTTTTTTTTTTTCCTCCCCCCTCCCGTTCGACTTCCATTTTTTTTTTGCTACGTAACAAATTTGACTTCGAAACGTAATTTAGTTACCGGAAGTAATAATAATAATAATAAAATTTTTTCTTTTAAAGTGATGAGTAATTTTTTTTTTTTTGGGGGGGGCAGGGTTTCATTTTTTAGATAGTTTTAGTTAAAACATTTTACCACTTGTTATCATTTGGTTGATGATAAGATTATCAGAATTAAATTTTCCTAGCGTTTCCGGTTTTTAAATCGCGAGGTCAGCTCAAAATAAAAATAAAAAAAAGTAAAAAAGTTTTTCCAGGGATGTAATCCCGCGAAAGTTAAATTTTTAAATAATTTTTTTTTCCTTTTTTTCTTTTTTTTTTTGCTGTTGCTCGAAATCTCTCCCGTTGGATTTGCTATTGTTAATTAACGTTACCCGTTTAATACTCTAGAGAATTTTATTCTTTTTTTTTTTTTTTACTAGTTTTTCCCATTAAATCGGGTGTTAGATTCTCATATTATTATTATTATTATTATTATTATTATTATTAATATGTAAAAAAAAACTTTTTTTTTTTAATAAAATTTCCTTTCTGCAGTTTCCGGTTACTAAATTTTTTTTTTAATTAGTAAAAAAAAAAAAGGAAAAAAGAAAAAAAAAATTTTTTTTTTTTTAGTTTAAATAAGATTTTTGTTTTTGCTCTTGTTTACATTGTTTTTTTTTTTTTTCTTTTCTTTTCTTTCCCTTGAGTTATGTTCTTTTTTTTTTTTCAGAGATTGTTATTAACTTTTGTTTGTTTTCTTTCGTTCGTCGTTTCTCTTTTGTTGTTTTCTTTTTTTTTGTTTGAAAAAAAAAAAAAAAATTGAAAGAGTTTTTATTCAAAGTTTTTTTTTTTTTTTCTCTTTATTAGGTTTTCTAAGAACTCGAACGGGACCAGATCATTCAAATTTATCAGGAGGAAATTTAGCAGTTCAAGACATAGGAGCGGCATTAAATTGGGTACAAAACAACGTGGGAGCATTCGGAGGTGACCCGAAACGGGTGACACTCATAGGACACGACACGGGTGCCGCGTTAGTTAATCTTCTACTACTTAATTCTTCCGCGAAAAATCTTTTTCATCGTGCCGTTTTGTTAAGCGGTAGCATATTGAGCCCTTGGGCGGTCGTGCAACAGCCTAACAACCTTCGGGAAACCGTTGCAAAACAAATGGGATGTTCGTACGATGCGGATGAAGATATAGCACCGTGTTTACGCACAAAATCCCTTTCGGATTTGTTAAATGTTAAATTCGAACCTCCTAGATTTCTACCCCGTTTCGGACCGTCCATTCCTCCCGACGGTAGCGTTGTAGACCCCGAAAACGCCATGGAACATGCCAGCGAGGCCTTCATAACGCGCGAACTCATGCTCGGTGCGGCAACGACAGAAAGTTATCTAGATTTTAATGCTGCCGACATACAATACGGTTTCGAAGAAGATCAAAGGAACAGAGTCCTGAGAACGTATGTGAGAAATGCGTATATTTATCATTTGAACGAAATATTTTCGACCGTTAGAAATGAATACACGGATTGGGATAAACCGATATTACATCCCATCAATATAAGAGATTCGACACTGGAAGCGTTGAGTGATGGACACACAGTGAGTCCACTCATGAGAGTCGGTTATTTACATGCTAAAAGAGGTGCCAAAACTTATTTTTTTCATTTTGGGTATCAATCAAAGGAAACTGAATATCCTCAGGTACGTATTTCTTTCCGACCATTGTTTAAAAAAAAAAATTTTTTTTTTTTTTTTACCTCGAAACGAGATGGAAAAATTAAGATTATTTTTTAAAATGAAACGAACCCGTATATTATTACACTTGAATTAAATAATTTATAAAAAAAGCGAATGAAAAAAGAAGGAAGGAGGGGGAGACGGGGGGAGAGGGAAATGAAAAGTTCGGACTCTGATTTTTTCTCTTTCGAGAAAATAAATTATTTTTTTGGAGGGGGGAGGGGAAGTTGATAACATTTAAATGCGTGGGAAAGAAAAAAACTAAACCGAGGAGGAAAAAAAAAAAAATTTTTATCATTAAAAAATCTTTCGTAAACGACCACACACAGCATCCCAATGGACCAATTTTTAATTTAATTGTTATTGAATATTTAAAAAAGACGAAATTTCACTTTTTTTTTGTTTTGTGAAACCCAGGAAAATAAAAATTATATTAAATATAAAAATGCGAGTAAAATAAAAAATGAAAACGTGCGTGAGTGCGTGTATGCGTGCGTGTATGAGTGCGTTCGTGCGGTCAAAAGTTTTATTATATCGAAATTCCTCCTATTTTCCTTTTTTTTAATCTTTTTCCACCCTCCCCCACTTTGGGCTCTTAACTAATTGCTCGTGGAAAGTAGGAAAAAAAAAAAACATTTTTTCTTCCTACCTTTCACATTTCCCGCCATTTTTTTTTTATTTCTCCTTTTTTTGTTCCATTGTCATTTTCTCAAAGGTTTTTTGTACTTTTCTTTTTTTTTTTTTTAATATTTTATATTCGATCGTTGCCAAAAGAGAAAAAAAAAAAATTATCCTCTTAATTTTTTTTTTTTTTTTTCCAGTACGTCGTAAATATATTCCATTTTTTTTTCCCCAAAAAAAAAATAATAATAATAATAAATTATTTAAATTTATATTTAGGAAAACCATTTTGAAACGTTTTAAAAAATTTTTTTTTTATCTCATTCACTAAAATTAATAAGTGGATATAAAATAAATAAAAAAAAAATTATAAATTTAAGAGTTTCGTATATAAAACGAACGAACGAAAAAAAGGAAAAAAGGAATGGAAAAAAGGAAAGAAAGGAAGAAAAAAAAAAATTTTTGTTTAATCGTAATATCAAAAGACAAAAGTGAATTTTTTTTTTTTCCAAATGTTGTTATTAATTATGATGAATTCATCTGTTTGAAACGATTCCAGAGAATTTAAAGTGTGTAGATGGAAAAAAAAAAACAAAATTATATTAGCTTTGTTGTTGTTGTTGTTGTTTTATGTTTGTGTTCCAAAAAAAAAAGAAAAATATTTACGACAAGATTAGGCTTAAAACATATTTTTCAATGTCACGTTTATCTTTTTTAGTTAGATTTAAACCTTTTTAAATTTTTCTCCTCTTTTTTTTTTTTTTAACAAATATCGCGGCCATTTTATTTTTTTTTTTTGTTCTTTGACGTCGTGTTTTATTTTTGTTTAGTGGTTGTTGTTTGTCGTTGTTTATTTATTTTATTTTTTTTGGAAACTTGATCGAAACGGTTTTAATTATCGTTAATTTCATTGTAATAAAAGGCATTCATATATTTCTTTCTTTTTTTTTGTTTCCTCGTAATGATCTCGGAAAAAAAAAAAAGACATTTTGTTTTTTTTGTTTTCTTTGTTCTTCTTTATTCCTGTCGTTTTTTTGTTTGTATGAGAGGAAGGGAGAGAGAGAAAAATCCAGATAATTAAAAAAAAAAAACAAATACATTCAACCGCGTAAAGAAAAAGGTTTTGTTTTCGTTTAGGTTTTTTCTTTTTTTTTTTTAAAAAATTTCCGATAAAAATACTAAAAAAATTTTTACCCCCCCCTCTTTTCCTTCCCTCCCCTCCCTCTCTTTCTTTTTATATTAAATCTAAAAAGAAACATGAGAGAGAGAAGATTTCACCGAAGATGAAACAACAAATACCAGCCAAAAAAAAAAAATTGTGAAACGTTAGCAGACTGATTTAGTGTCCTGTTGTAAATCATTTAAAAACTGACATGAAACCTTTTTTTTTTTTTTAAAAAATCCATTTTCATGTAATCTTCTTCTTCTTCTTCCTTTACACACACACACATATACTCTCTCTCTCTCTCTTTCTCTCTCTCTCACTTCCGCATAACATTTTTCTTTGTGTGCATTTTCAAACGTTTCGATTACTTAAATTAAAAACAACAACAACAACAACTACAACAATATTAATATTTAATACCTTTTTAAAAGAGTATATAATAGTTTTCAAAGCTCATGGTGATAATAATAATGATAATAATAATAATAATAAGCCAACGGCCATAGCGTGCTGGTCACACCGGTTCCCGTACGATCACCGAAGTTAAGCAGCATCGGGCGTGGTGCAAACTTGGATGGGTGACCGTTTGAGAACGCCACGTGCTGTTGGCTTAAAAAGAGAAAAAAAATGAGAACAAGACAAAGTAAGAACCAAAAACAAATCTTGTTCTACTGTCGACCTGAGGCAGCTCGACGAGAATGTGAATTTCACTGCTTCTGACCCTGGCCACTCCAAAGATGTTAGTCACCGGAGCCCAGTTCAGGAGACAAATCGTTCCCATCGAAAAAGACGGACTCAGGAAGACCTTCAAGAATTGATGTGGTGCTATCTTATAATAAGTGGCACCACCGAAATTCGAGTATTTGTCCCTAAGGAATCGGGTAGAAACCTCGGATAAATACTTAAAAACTCCGACAAGTAGCCTTGTCGTGTTTAATGGTGGATAATAATAATAAATTTGTTTTTTTTTTGGTTACATTAAAATCCTTTTTACTAAAAAATGTGGGGGGATACAACACAAAACGGTAATTAAAATAAAAACTATTCATTAACTATCTTTACTTTTATCACGTGAAAAAAAAATTTTTTCGGCCATTTGGAAAACGTTTTCCCGATGACCTTGAAAAAAACAATAATAATAACGATTTTATCAATAGTTAATATTTTATGCGCGAATATATTCGTTTGTTTGTTTGGCACGATTTTCACAATTTTTGTTTGACGATTAACTCGGCATAAAAATTAAGGACGATAAAAAAAAAAAAAATGGAAAAAAAAATTGAAAAAACAATTTAAAGGTAGAATTTTTTTTTCGAGGGAGGAGGGAGGGAGGGAGGGAGGACGTTGCGAACGAACAAACGAACGTTTTTATTTTATTTTATTTTTTTTGTATTTTCCAGAGATTGGGAAGCGTTCGTGGAGAATCGATAACGTATTTGTTAGGTTTGCCTTTAGTCGACGGTTTGCCTTTTTTCCCGCAAAATTTTACTAAACAAGATGTGAGCGTTTCCGAAGCCGTTATTAATTTTTTTTCAAATTTTGCTAAAACCGGGTGAGTAGATAAAAACTTTTTTTTGTTCTAAATCCTTTTTTTTATCATTACTATTATTATTGTTTTGTTTACAGGAATCCTAACGAGCCTAAAAACGATAATAATAATAACAATTTCGATTATGGTAATTTAAAAGAAAAATCTAAATATCGAGGAATCGTTTGGGAATCGTACGAAGTACAAACACAACAATATTTAAGCATAAGTAAGTAAAACTACCATTTTTTTTTTTTTGAATACTTTTATTTTTGAATACTAAACTATCGTTTATAGTCTATAAAAATAAAGCGCTATTTTTTCTATATATATACATAATTCGTTTGTCTTATTTGGCTCGACTTTTAGACTATAACGTTTCAAAAATGTCTTTTGCCAAAAAAAGTCTTATAATTAAATAAAAACTTTCGATTTTTTTTACGTTAGTGAAAATGCGTGAGCGTGTGCGCGTGTGCGTTTGTACGAGTGGAAAAAAACAAACATTTAAAATTTTAAAGTTTTTTTTTTTTTTTTGTTTGTTTGTTTGTTCACGACAACAACAACAACAACAACAACAACAACAAAAATTATTAAGTAAGAAAAACATTTTAAAAAGTTTTAAATTAATTAAATTTCAAAAGGATGTCGTTATCGAAATTAATCGTTACGCGTTTTATTTATTATTATTATTATTATTATCATTATTAAATATTTTAAAATGTATGTACCGTAAAATGAAGGACTTGGGAATTCATTAAATTTTTTTTTTAATTTTTTTTTGGGGAGGAGGGAGGGGGAGAAACAAAAAAAAAACGTTCATGAAGTTTTCGGTTAATTAATGAAAAGAATTTTTTAAAAAAACGTGAAGATGAAAAAATGTGAGTGAGTGAGTGCGCGTGCGGTTTTGGTTATTCCTACATTTTCGTACCAATTAATTTTCTCGGAAAATTTATCAAAAAAGAGGAAAAAGGAAAAAAAAAAGAAAATGTTTTAAATGTTTTTTAATTGCACTGCAAAAAAAATGAGAGAGAGAGAAAAAAAAACAGAAGAAATTAAAATTCGTTTAAAAAAAAGTAACCTTTTCTTTCATTCCTTTGGTATGAAAAAAAAGGGGAAAAAAAATTTTCCCGTACCTGAAATTAAATTTTTTTTTTCGTTTAAAAAAGATTTTGGAAAACAAAAAAAAATCTTTTCTTCTTATTCGTAGTCGTCATTACTTTCAATACGCATTTAACGACAAAAATTTTTTTAACAACATTCCCTCCAATTTTCTTCTCCCCCCTTCCCCCCAAAAAAAAAACAATATAAATCCGAAAATAATAGGAGCATTTTGTGTGTTTCCCCTCCCTCGATTTTCAAAAAAAAAAAAGATTTTCCCGTGTAATTTTTCAAATGGGATAATTCAAGAAAAACGGGGGAAAAAACGGTAGGTTCCAAACAAAAAAAAAATGGCGGTAAAAATAAAAACAGAAGACGAGTTTTATACTACGACATACGTATTCCATTTTTTTTTTCCTTTTTCGGGGGGGGGGCCTTCGCGACTATAAGTCATAACGATCCCTTTTTTTTTTTGCATTTATTACCTTTTGTCTGGAAAAGAACAAAAGAAAAGAAGAAAAAAAATGAAACAAAGTGCGCGCACATATATAAATATTATCAGAAGGATTAAAAGTGTGTTGAATTTTGTTTTTGATAAACGATGATGATGATGATGATATTTTTCATTTTCAACCAGGTCGAACATTTCATAAATCTGAAATGCCTTTCCCCCTGCCCTCCTCCTCTCCCCTCTCATATCCAACCATCTCACCACCTGCTACCACTCCCACTCTTTCATCTCTTATAGAATTTTCTTTTTTTTATATTTTCATTTAACATACATTTACAATCCGCCATATTTGTTTATTTTCTTATCAATTACGATAAAGATTTATTATCAATCGTGACTATTAATTAATTAATTAATAATTAATTTATAAAAATTTATTCGAATTTTTTTTTTAAATTTATCGGAATCCATTTTGTTTTTTTTTTCTAGAAAACTTTTTTTAAGATTATTTTGGCACTGAACTATAAAAAGTTTTCTTTTTTTTACGCTTTTTTTAAAGAGAAAAAATTCAAGAAAAAAAAAATAATAATAATAATTTTAACGGTTCTACGAAAAATAATAATAATAATAACAATAGTAATAGTAAAAGAAAGAAAAAATTAATCGTGTTTTTTTCTTTCGTTTTATTTTTTTTTTTTTTTTACGGCACCCCCTCCGCTTCCTTCCTCCCTTCCCTCATACCTTCCCCCCGCAATAATAATAATAGTAATAATAATAATATTTAAATATGTTTCTGTATATAACAAACGCTATAAATAATTCAAAGCTATAAATTTATATAAATAAATCCACGTGTTTAATGTTTTTTCACCGGGTAATTTTACAAAAAAAAAAAATTTTTTTTATAGTTTACAAACTCTTTCGCGTTTTATTTTATTTATTTATCGAATTTTTTTTATAGCGTGTAGCTTTTTTTTTTAATTTATAGAGAAAATAGTTTTCCGTAAATAAATTTTAAAGTTAAAAAAAAAAACGTCTGCTAAGATTGTGTTAATTAAAACAAATAAATTAAAAAAAAAAAAAAAACGCGTGTCGACATCTATAAAAAGGAGTATATATTTATAGCAAGACTATAAAACAATTTTTTTTATTTTTATTTATTTATTCCCCGTCGTCTGCGTGTTTTTTAAAATTATTTTACGAAACGATTTAAATTTAAATTTTATGCCGCGTTTTTTTTTAAAATGTATTTTAACAAATGCAATACAAAAACGCGCAAATCATCGATTTTATTTTTTTTTCTCTGTGTGACGTAAGCAATTTATTGCAAAATCCATTTTGAAATTAATATATATGGATGTAGTATTATTTACGCCGCGTATTCGATTAAACGGTTTTTTTTTTAAATTTCCCGCCAAATTTTATTTTATTTTATTTTTTTTGATACCGTTTTAATATTTTGTTTCGGGAGAAAAAAAAAAATTTATTATTAAAAAAATTTAATAATGACGTAATACGTATTTGATGACGTATGAGACTTATAAAAAGGATATTACGATGATGATGATGATAATAATAATGGTAATAATAAAAAAAAAGTTATAATTCTTTTGGCAGCGTTTAAACCGAAAATGAAAAGTCATTATCGCGGTCATAAAATGGCGATATGGTTAAATTTAATTCCGCAACTTCATCAACCCGGCGATGAAGATGTCAGCATGAGGCATCATCACTTTCACGAAAGAGCTGATAAATTTTATCAGGGAATCGTTCAACCGGAATCCTTAACACGTCCCTCTCCGAGGTATTTACCAGCGAGTCCGCAAACTCATTTAACGACTATAACGGATTGTTTACCTGGTATGACGGAAATGTCGATGACAACCGAAAATGATATCGATACAGATGTTGACGACGATGACGGTGACGAAGTTGGTATACTACAAAGGCTTGCCGATAGCGGTTATCATAGTTATGCAGCCGCTTTAGGAGTAACCGTTGGTGTTGGATGTCTTTTGCTTATATTAAATTTATTAATATTCGCGGGTAAGTTTTTTGTCGTGGCGGTGGTAGCGACGTCGGTAATAAATAAAAATCACAAAATGTTTCTATTGTATTTTACAGGTATTTATTATCAGAGGGGTAAAAATCAAAAAGGAAGAAAAAGAAATCGGAGGTACAATGCGGAAAACGTACAGGAATCCGATTGCGAATCATCTCAGACTCCGGCGGAATCATCAGGTGCTCACGTTATTAAATTACAAGAACCTCCTCCGTGTTATACATCCGTTGCTACGAACACTCTCGAAAGAAACGTACAACCGGCGTTAAAAACTAACAAAGCAAAAGAACCGCCGACACCGCCGATGAGAACGTGCAGCAATGTTAAAAAAAGGGTACAAATACAGGAAATATCCGTATAGTAGGTAAGTAAAAAAATCAATAAAATTTTTTTTTTTATCGATCGATAATTACACTTGCGAACACATTTATTATTATTATTATTTTTTTTAAAGGTAAAAAAAATCGATATTGTTACCGTGGAAACGCAAACGAAAACAAAAACAAAACAAAAAAATTTGAGTTTGGATAAAATTCATAAACATGTCTGGTAAAGAAAAAATTAAAATAATTCTTCTTGGACCGCCATCGGTGAGTTTTGTATTTTTTTTTTCCTTTGTTATTATTATTATTGTTATCATTATTATTATTAAGTTCGACATCCGACATTTTCTGTTGTTAATAAAAAAAAAAAAAAAAAAAATTAATGAAAAACAGAACCGAATAAAACCGATTCAATAACAACGGCGTAAAATTAAAAATAATAATAAACAAAATGGCGGTTTTGAGTTTTTGATTTTTTTTTTTTTTTTAAAGGTTGGGAAAACTGCATTAGCTAATTTTCTGTACGAATCTTACGAAAAAATAATTAACGTTAATGAAGGAGGAGGAGGAGATACGAAACCGACAAAAGCCGTGAGAATTTTAGAATTTTTTGTCGATGGAATCAAAACGAAAAACGTCTTCCAAAAAAAAATAGCCATAGAATTATGGGATTGTAGCGGTGGAAGCAGGTAAAGTGAAAAAATTTTTATTTTTTTTTTCTATTGCCACGTGCGTTTTACGCGCGCGCGTTTTATTTTAAATAATAAATGTCGGATATCGTTACGGATTTAAATTTTTAACGGTTAAATTAACGAGAAAATAAGAAAAATTATTATTATTATTATTATTATTACTACTATTTTTTTTTTTGTAGAAATTTATTTTAAATGTAAATCGGATTTATTTGACGTAACAACGCAAATGCATTATCTAATGACACGTCTATCATATTATACACAGAGTAAAAATAATCAGTCAATGTCTTTCTCTATCTCTCTCTCTCTTTCCCTCTATAAGTTATTTGTTATACGTGAAATTTACGCGTGTTTTTGTTACAAAACGTTCGTTGCTGTCGCTGTTCCTGCTGTTGCTGCTGCCACTGTCGTCTTTGAGAGTAATAATAAAAATTTTTTTTTTATTTTCGCTGAATATTTTCGATAATTAATTGGCGTCGTGAGTCTTTTATGCGACGGTGGCGTTGTTGGTGATAATAATAATAATAATGAAACTAATTTATATTCAAAACAAAAGATCGCTAGAAAGAGAGAGGGGGGGAGAGAGAGAAATTTTATATACGTGCGACAGGAGCGTAATAAGTAAAAATTATTCACTTCGACTTGTTTTTCTATTTTTTCTCATTCCATTTTCTTTTCCATTTAACAAATGAAAAAAAATTTGTCACTCTCCCCTCCCCTCCCCTCTCCCCCCAAATAAAACTATAAAACGAAATGAGAGAGAAAGAGAGAAATAATAACAAAAACCAATCTAATTTATTTTTTATGACTTTTTTTTTTCACCCTCCAACATTTCTCTCTCTCGATTTCCAATAAGTAAAAATCGGGAGAAAAAAAAAACGGAAGTTATAGGGATAATTTTAAAATGAACTACGTGCGTAGGAACTTCCGGTTCCCCCCATCCTCTTAAAAAAATTTAAAAAAAAAAAAAACTGTTGCTGTTTAGGTATCAATCATGTTGGCCGGCCATACAACACGAAGTTCAAGGGATTATATTCGTACACACGGATAATTTACCGGAAGAAGTATCCTCTTTGCGAACGCTTTATCATCATTTCGTTGAGGAAACGAATTTTCCAGAATCCCGGTGTTTGGTTGTTAAAAATCAAACCGGAAACGGCGACGATTTAATTATTGAAAAAAATCCTTTGCCAAATTTAAATCACGTCGTTGCTAATTGTCATATAAAAGGCCAAGAATTTAAAAATAATTTCATTAGATTTTTATCGACATTAATTTATACGGATTTAAATGAATAAATAAATTTTTATTTAAATAAATAAATTCTTTATGTACGTATTTTAAATAATAATAATAATAATAATAATAGTTATAATTAATAATAATAATAAAAATTTTAAATCAATTAAAAAAATTTTTTTTCACCGCAGTAAAATTTTTCTAGTTTGTTTTTGTTTTTAATCTTCTTCATCTTTCCTCTTATCTACAAATAAGAAGATTATGAAATTTATTCCAGATAAATTCACAGGTTAAATAATAATAATAATAATATATTCTCGTTTTGAGAGAATACAAGTTTACAACAAACATTTGATTTTTTTTTTTAGTGATCAAACAAGTTTTCTCTAAAATTCGTTGTAATGTTTTTTTTTTTTTTTTTTAACGGGTTAATAATTTCGAACGTTGAATTTTTTTTTGAATTCGATCGGTTGGTAGAATTGATTAATTGATGTAAGAAAATAATTCAAAGGATCGAATTTAACGCATGATTAAATTATTTAAGGTCATATTTCGAATGTCGATACCATTTGTCAAATCATCATCATCATCATCAACCTTTTTTTTTCCTTTTTATGTCGTGTACAAAAATAAATGGATCATGAATCGATTGATTTTTTTATTATGTTTATTCATAGAGTGATAAATACAAATGAAGATCTTTTAAATTTTTTGTCCGTTAAATTTTTTAATTAATATCGATCGTTAGTAAAAAAAAAAATTTAACCGAAAAAAAAAAACAAGATGTTGTTAAATTTATGTCGAATTGCACAAACTTTTTTTTTTTTTTTCATTCGTTTGTTACATAAAAACGTAGTTTTTTTTTAAAAAAAAAAACTTCCTAAAGCGTATTTTGTGCGTGTGCGTGTGCGTGTGCGTGTTTTGAACGTGTCAGGTTTTGTTTACGAATATTTTTTTTTAGTTAACCGCTCGATATAAAAATTTTTTTTAAAAAACGCGCCATTTTTTTTTGTTTTGTTATGGTTTATCACCTGACCGTCATAATTTATTTAAAAATTATATTCTCTTATCAAATTGATGATAACGCTTACTAATGTATAAAACAAATAAAAAAAAACTAAAAATTTAAAATTTTCCCGCGTAAAAATTTTCCATTATCAATAATCATAAAAAGGTTTGACGAAAAAAAAAAAAAACTCGTAATGTTTTCGTGGGACAACAACAACAACGACAACAACAACAACAACAACTACAATAACAACAACAACAACAACAATAACAACAACAACGACAACAACAACGACAACGACAACGACAACAACAACAACTACAATAACAACAACAACAACAACAATAACAACAATAACAACAACAACGACAACAACAACAACAACAATCACAACAAACTCTTTCTTATACTTTTTTAACGATTCAAAAAAAAAAAAAATTACGCCGTCATTTATACCTTATTTTTAATTAAATTAATAATTAACGTAATAATAATTACAAACGATGATCATTATTATTATTATTATTATCATTATTTATTTTTTAAACAATTAAGAAAATACCTTTGAGGTGATAACGATTATATTTATCTCTTATTTCTTATAATAAAAATATTTAACCTCAAATAACCCAAAGGCCATTCAACAAAATTACGATTGTTCTTAAATGTTCCAAACCTTGAATTTCAATTTTCCCCCTCCCCCTCCCCTCCCCCTTCTCTTCCCTCCCTTTTTCGAACCGTTAAAATTTTTTTTTTTTTTTTTTTTTATTACCTTCTTCCATTGTTTTCTTTCCTTTTTTATTTTTTTTACAAACAAATCCATAAAAAAATACTAAAATTTAATAATAATAATAATAATAATAATAATAATAATAATAATAATAATAATAATAATAATATTAATAATAATAATAATAATAATAATAATAATAATAATAATAATAATAATAATAATAATAATAATAATAATAATAATAATAATAATAATAATAATAATAATAAATTCGATTTAAAAATAATAAAAATAATAATAATGATAATTATTATTACGCATAATGGTAACCTTTAATGTTTTTTTCCTTGTGCGTGCGTGCGTGCGTGAGTGTTTTAAAGATCAAAAGTTCAACGTCTTTAATTATTAATTAATTTTCCTAATCATTTATTTACTTAATTTTTTATTTCGATTATTATTATTATTATTATTATTATTATTATTATTATTATTATTATTATTATTATTATTACTAATTAACAAAAAGGTTAATTAATTTTTTATCATCACCTTTGTGTAACTTTGTGCGCGTTACCTTAACACCGCGAATCTTTTTTTTTTTTTTTGCGTTTTCCTCTCACGTGGTAAAACAAAATCCCGGTAGTAGTAATAATAATAATAATAAAATCGGATAAAATAAAGACGTAACGTGACGACGAAGATGACGACGACGATGCGCGTACCTGGTATTTATTTATGTATGTTTTAGTATTTATCGTGAATAAATAATTATAATATTTATAGAGTGGAAAAGTGAATGGTTATGTCATATTAAAAACAACGCAAATAATTTTTTTTTTTTTCTCTCGCTTCGTTTTTTTAGGTACCAAGGTAAGAAATAAACTAATATTACCGAGCCAAGTAATTGTAGTAGTAGTAGTGATGGTAGTGGTAGTAGTATTAGTAGTAGTTGTAGCAGTCGACGTCTATAAACGTGCCTAAATGAAATCGAGTTTTTTTTTTTTTTTCATTAATTTTATATATATGTAGTCTTTTACCGGCCAGTTTAATTCAGGTCGTTCGTTGGTAAGCAACAACAACAACAACAACATCAACATCAACAACAACTAGCCTAATCGAATGTTTTTATTTATTTTTATTACGCTTACGTAGTCGTCATCGTATCATTCATCGATTATTGTTTTAAGTGTTATCGTGAAATTATTTTTTTTATTTAAAATTTTCATTTTTTTTTTCGCGTTTGAATTAGTGTGAGAGAGAGAGAGAGAGAGAGAGAGAGACAGAGAAAAAGAAACCATGATGAAATTGAAAATGAAAGTTCAAAATAAAATTCTGTAAGTTATTATTATTATTACTATTATTTTCTCAAGAATTTCACTTTTATTCACTTTTTTTCTTTTTTTCATTTAAACGTTTTTATATTA